GCACTCAAAAAGCGTGAACTCCTCAAAAAACCACCTTTTTTGGGCTGTTTTGGAAAACTCGGACGAGTGCTTCTGATGCTAACCTTGTCGTAAGCAACCATTAACAGTTAAACGCTATGTATTCGACTGGGTTTGCCATGTGAAAACACGTCAAGGGCTGAGCATGTTTTGTTCGAGGGGGTTGGCAGTGCCAGAAAGTGGGCGTGGTGCTCGAGCTCGGACATCTGCCTGGACGCTCCTTTAAAAAGCTATCACCCATGAATTTTTGTAAAAAATTAGATCACACGTGAAATCGATCGACTATATGGTTCTTATTCTATATAGTATACGAAAAAAAAACATAAAATTCCCTCCGCCGTGTAATTTTGCGCTCATTTGCATCTTTATCCTCTAATCAGACTTCGGTACTAAACATCAATTTCCGAAAAAGTAATTGTTCGTATATTAGCTGGAACTTAGTCTTACAGAAACTTTTCAAAAACCGGTTCAGCTCAGGTTCGATAGAGAGAAATTATGCATTTTTAATGCTGCTTGGGCGATAACTGTGTCGCACGGCGACAGTAAAATTTGATAGATGCAAACAATCAAATTTGATCGGTTAAAAATGCTAGAAGGCCTAAGCCATTTGATCTGACTTTTTGAATTTCTCCTTAGCTTGGTCGCTTAATCTCTGAAACTAAATGACTTTGGGCTCTTATAATCTCATGTATTCTCCCCTTTCATGCATCTCGCTACAAATTTCGCCAGTTTTCTCGAAGAAAGAGCTATTTATCACATAATTTAAAACCGCTGTTTAGCTGGATGTGGTATGGAGATAGTACGCACATTGCTCAAAACTAATGAGAACTTTACTTACGATGAAGATCAGCGTATTCCGGAAGTTCGAGTGTGGTTGAAGGGTAAGGCATTTAATTTCTCTCTTTTATCACAATCTTCTGATTGTTCTGATTACAGAGATAGACACACTCTATGCGACATTTCTCACATTTGCTACTATCTTCACGGTGATAGTTTGGCTCTTAGCAGCCGTTCAATTGTATCATATTATACGATATGTTAGTAACGCTAGAATACAAACAGATCTCTACTACTTGGCCCTTATGTTCCCGGTAAGTCACGCAGTCAAAAGATCAAATAATCATAAGAACAATTTTCCAGGTGACCACAATCTGTAACATGGCAGGAATGTATATTCCACGTGCAGCTCTTTTTCTGTATGCTGTTGCTCTTGTGTAAGATTTATTCTCTTTTTTTACGCAGTTTGGGGTGACTTGAACATGCTCTACAAATATCGTTTTAGGTATTTCATGTTCTGTCTATTTGTCGTAGTTTCATTGCTGTTTAACATATTTGGAAGCAGAAAGGAGATGTCCGATTACCTTTTAGAGAAGTGAGTCTTCAGTAAACTTTTTCAAGACTGTTGGTAGATACAAAGAATTTTTCAGAGGTATTCGAATATCGTTCCAAGTGCCTCCCTTATGTTTTCTAAAATTTTTACCGGATGTTCCGAGCACTGAGTGAGTTCAAAATTTGTTCAAAAAGCTGAAAAACTGTTCTATCATTGTTATGAAAACTCAAAATTGAATTAATTTCTTGCGGAATTTGCATAAGCATAAAGAGCTATGGCCGCAGAAAAAAAACTAGATATGTTTTAGGTGGTACTTAAGTTTCATCAGTAAAATATAAAAATTGGTCTCGAAAGTAAAAATAAAACCAGTTCATCCATACAGTAAAATTTTTGAATAATATAAGTATGTGAATTTATACTGTATCTAACTGAAACTAGAAAAATCCGTGTCAGAAAATCGCGACTAAACTCAAAGAAACCCGATGATCAGTCATTTTCTTAGTTAGGAGGGGTATGTATGTAGGTTATAAAACAAGACTAAAAATTTGGTTTTTTAGCATTTAAGGAAAACATATTGATTGTTTATTTCATCAGCTTGTATCGTTACCATATACCAAAAAAGTTGCGCTTGGCATCATTAAAATCCCATAACTTTTCCTTGAAGCAAACCAAAATGAATGTTTTTGTTGTAAAAGTGTCACAAATTCACAAAAATGATGCATGATCTATGTACCAAGCTAGAAGCAGGTCAACTTGTAATCAAACGCTTGTTATGTGTGTTTTAGCAAAAATCTGCGTCGAGTCGAATGGCTCGTCTTCCAAACACCCATCCTTCGTACGGCATTTGAACTTACTAGCGTCGTTGTCTTTATGGAACTCAATCATCGTCATAACTTGTAAGTTTTACCAGTTTGAGTTCTCACCTATTTTACCCAACACGACAAATTTCTCTCTGTGTCCATCTTCACCAAGATCAAAATTTGTGCCTCAAAATTGTCTATATAATTGTATAATTGGAATTGTAACTGTAGAATCGCCACTTGCAGGGGATGGACACTTGGTGTGGCATTTCCAAAAATGTGCACTGTCTTATAGGGCATGAAATGCTGACTTCAAACTTGCTTTCGCTATATGCAAAGCGCTTTCGGGAGCCGAGTTACAGAAATTTTTTGATGCAAAAGTTTGAAAACATCGTTACAACAAAACATTCGGACCCTTTATCTTGAGCTCAGAAGGGGCCATGATTACTACCAGGGCGTTTCGCAAAGAAAAGACCTTCTGATAAACTCATGCCAATCATTATTTTTTTTCAAGCACAGGAAACACCTCAACATCTACATATTCTTGTCTAAGCCAAATTATCAAATTTCTACCTCAGGAAATTCCCAAAACTTTCCTCTCAGAAGCTTCCTCTCTCGGTTCGCAGATACCGAGAGCAGATTTGTATCAGAGTTCCATGCTCTATAAGATAGTATACATCTCATATGGAAATGCCACTTCGGCCAAGTATCCTCCCCTTGTTAGAAAGACGCAGTGAACGTCTTGAAAAATGCTCACAAGGAAATGGTCAGAAATCGAAGTGGCCAATCCAG